TTAATCATTTGGCTTAGCTTATTGACTTCCTGTGACTAGTGACCATATTATTGCTCCAAGGCTAATTGAAGGTTCTGGCGCCTGGTTAAGGTTGGTTGGCCTTTACTCGAGACTTGAGCCCACCTGCAGCCCTGACCCTTCTCCTTGGTGCCTTTCCATCCCGGATGCCTGCCTGAGGCCTGAAGGAGGCCTTATCCCACCAGGTTAGATTCCTCAGAGAGGAGAAGTCCCCTCATGTCACTTCCTCTGTGTTAAATGAGGGGCAGCGCTGAGGCTAGGAGCACGCAGTGTGATATTGGACACCAGCTCTGCCCCTTATCCATGGCTTGTCTCTGTTTGTCCATCTGTGATGTGGGGATGATAAAGATGGCATTGGCCTTGTAAGTTCGTTGTGAGAGTTAAGCAAAATAACACAAGTGCAAATGTTTGGTACAGTGACTAACCTGTAAGTGCTCATTAAACATTAGGTTTGTGTGTGGAATCCACGCATGGGTCCCCCTTATGCTATACACTTATTTGGGATCAGGGAAGTGCCGATCAATGAGCTTTTTTATTTTTATTTTAAAAAATATATATATTTTATTGATTTTTTATAGAGTGGAAGGGAAAGGAATAGAGAGTTATTAACATAGAGGAGAAACATTGATCAGCTGCCTCCTGCACACCCCTTATTGGGGATGTGCCCGCAACCAAGGTACATGCCCTTGACTGGAATGGAACCTGGGACCTTTCAGTCCGCAGGCTAACACTCTATCCACTGAGCCAAACCGGCTAGGGCTCAGTGGGCTTTTGATCACCAGTTCTGTGCACCTCTTTCCTATGGTACGGTACCAGGAGCATGGCCAGAAGTGAAGGGATTCGCTTTCTACTTAAATTCTGAATCCCAGCGGGCAACAGGGGCCAAGCCAGGGGCTGTGAGGGCTGGAGACGCTTCCTTTGCATCTCACTTTGTAACATCCCGTTTCCTTCACCTCACAGAGGGGCACTGCGGGCATTTTCAGGCAGAGACAATGAGTCACTGTGGAGGCAGCATCAGAATCTTGATTTCCTTCTATCATTTCCCTGCGAGGAGGCAGGTCATGCACCAGCAGATCTGCCGGGAAAGACTGGGTCCCGCGTGATGTGGTGGCAAAAGCTCTGCCGCAGGAGCCACAGAGGACAAGTCCCGCTCCTTGAGCTCCGTGCACGTGTGTCACTGCGAAAAAGCGGTGCCGCCTGTCTAGCCTCAGTTTTCTCATCTGTAACCCCGGGATAACATCACGCTCTCTCACTATGGCATGGGATTGTTAATGCTTACAAATGCTTCCTACCCTGTAAAAGGTGAGGCAGACGGAATGGAATATCTTCATGAAAAAGCCATCTCTTTCTGCAGAGATTTGGTTTCAGAAACAAACTTGCAGCAAAGGCTGGATGGGTGCATTTGGAGCTGGTTTCCGAGTGGGAGCAGGGGACCCCGCTCCAGAGTCCCTGGAGCGGAATGAGGAGAATCTGAGCGTTACTTCAAGGCAGTGGCTCGCCAATGTTGGCAGGTGTCAGAATCCCTGGAAGGCTGGATGGACCCCATCCCGGGCATTTCCGAGCTTGTATGTTTGGGGTAGGGACTGGGACTCGGCATTTCTAACACATACCCAGGTGGTGCTGAGTGCTGCCGGCCAGAGGCCACGCTCAGAGCACTAGGGCAGGCAGGAAGAGGGAGTCCTCCTTTGGAATCGAACAGGCAGTGTGAAGGTCCACGTGGGTAAGGCGGTTTGGGAGGAAAAAAAAGTAGAAGACAGAAAAATTGGAATAATGGGCAGAATGGGCAGAACAAAGGGGGGAAAAAAGTCTCACTCTGTAACATAGGCAAGTTGGGGGAAGTTGCTAGGTGATGGATGAAGGCGAGAGGTGGGTTTCTACTGTAGGAAAAACCAGGTGAGAGACCGGAGCGCAGAGTTGGAAATACACACGTTTGCGGCGGAGGTGGAAATTTCTCATTAAGCAGTGAGGGGTGGGGTGGTGGGGCCCGGGGCCGGGGCGGGGGGAGGGGTGGGAGTGGAGGAATGCCTCTGTCGAGGAAGGGGCCAGCTGAGAGGTGGCAGAAGGGGTGATTCACTCAGGGCTTGGTGGTTGGGCTCAGTACTGCAGCAAGATAGAAATTGGGAGAAAGGAGGTGGAATTTGATGTGTGACCTGCCCCTTCGCTCTCTTGCTCTCTGCATTTATCACATCACATCACACCCAGCGAGACAGCCCCCTCCTCCCGGCTCATTAGGAGGCTTGGTTTTGGCGTGGCTCCTGCTGTCGGCAGCTGTCTGGGGCAAGGTCTTTATGCTGCCTGCTCCCTGAGCGGCAGCCAGCCTTCAGTGGGCAGCGGAGCTCATTAGAAAAGGGCCTCCCCGGACACTTGATTTCACTGGCGGCAGGAAAGAGTTAATGCCTACGGCTCCGCTGCCCCCTGCACAGCCTCTGGGTGCAGAGGGAGGCGGCTCTGGGCTGTGGGGACCTCTCCCCGAGAGCGAGCTTGAGCCAAAGAAGCAGGGAAGCAGCTTCGCGGAGCTGAGGAGGAAGGTGCGGGAGGAGTGCCAGGCGAGCCGCGCTCAGGGGCACCTCCAGCATCCTGCCAATGAGGATGGGCGTGCAGGCTCTGCCCCGGAGCTGAGCTGAGCCGAGCTGAGCCGAGCTGCCGCCCGCTGGGTGTAGGCTGCTTCAGTATTTATTGGATGTGACAAACGGGGAGAAGCGATTTCAGCGGGGCTGCTCGGTGCCCGGCGCAAGTGGTGGGAGGTGTATTGTGCATGCATGCATGTGGAGACGTGTGTGCGTGCCCGCGGGTGCCTGCGTGTGCATGCACACATGCCCTTCGCCCACCGAGGATTTGACTGCTAAACCGCTAAAGCAAGGTCTGCTCTCTCCCCAGAGCTCCTTCACCCACAGCCTCTCTGACCATCCCATAGGCAGGAGACCCGCAGGCCATGAGGACCGTTCAGAGACAGTGAGTACTGCCTTTTGCTTTTCCCTCTCTGGGTGCCCGCACGGGCTCATTGCATTATCCATATTTAATTAACCTGCCTCTCCATATTGATTGCTTTCTCTCCACCGAGGCTTCATCTCTCTTCCCTTCTTTATAAATCTTTGCTCTTTGCTTTTAACCTCTTCCCCCCCCCCCCTTCTCATTGAGCATCCTCTGTTTTCACGTGGACCCATTCTGTAGAGTCACCTGTAACTTGATGTTCACCTCGGAGGGCACATGAACTGTGGGTGTAATCACACTGTTGGTATTCTGGGTAACCGCAAACTCTGTCCCCCCAAAAAGTCAAGAGCCAAATGGGGTAAAAGCCCCGAGGTGCTGGGGTGAATGGGGAAACTGGGTTAGAGGACCTTGCAGGTCCTCATTCAATGGGCTCCAAGGCTGAGCTCACGGAAGGGGCAGTGGGGGGTCTGAGGCTCTGGTGGGCACTGCTGGATATGGGAGAGAGGGAGGAGGCATCTAAGCAGCTCCAGCAAGCCAGTGAGGGCTAGCTGTGGGAATGGGAAGGGTGACAAGGCAGTGGCAGGAGGCCTGGGGATACTTGCCCCAAACGACCTTGCCTGCTGTGTGCGTGTGGGTGGGAGTGCCTGGTTCTGCTCAGCTCCCGGGTCGTGAAGGCCCCTGGCCTGGGCTTCCCCCTCCTCTGGGCTATATCCCACAATCCAGAGAAAATGAGGCGGAGATGCCCAGAACAATGATTTCTAGAGATCCCAACAGCTAGGAAAGGCTTTGATCTCCTGACTTCTGAGCAAGCAGGTGTACGCGGTGAGACCAGGATTAAGGAACTGCCCCTGCTGTCAGGGAACTCAGCACTTGCCGTATCCTGGGGATGAGCCTTACACAAAATCGAACTATTATTATTATTATTATTATTATTATTTTTAGTTTTAACATCTTGTTATTTTGTTCATTGTGATGTTATTCAAAAAAGGTATTTTAAAAAGTCTGCGAAGTGTTCCTGGTAATAGCAAAAGAATTTAAATGGATTTCAGAAGGGACTTATCTGTCTCAAGGAGGTTTCTGTTAAAATGGATTCTATGTTTGGTGTCAGGGTTCCCCAGGGGATTCCTTTACGGATAGGCTGCTGTCTTCACAGGCTTCTTCCTACCGGTTCTCTTCCTGGGAACAAAGGGCTTGACGCCCCGAGAATGGGACCCTCAGCAGAGCGAGATTATTGGTCCATCAGCCTTCAACCTCTGTCCCCTTTTCCCGGTGTCCCTCTGCTTCAGGCCGGGGACGGGCCAGGCGGGAGGCTGAGGCGGGCCAGGCAGCTTCCATAGGAGGGAGGAGGGGTGACTTGGGGATTCATCTCGTCATTCTGTGTCTGGGATCCCTGCAAAGGAGCAAGCCTGTGCGGTGACAGCGCCTGACAGGCTTCCCCTGGAGTCACCCAACCTTCCTCCCGCTCTTGCCTTCCCGAGGCTCCCACACTCTCACCTCAGGGACAGGTTCCAACCTTGGAGGGAGGTGAGAATCAGAGAAGTAGCCAATGGAATGTTTCTGGAGCAAGTGTCGTGCCCCTCCCATGTCCCCCTGCCCCCATTGGCTTCTGGTCACAGGATCCCACCCACATAACTCGGAAGAAAACAGTAATTTTTGGCTCACCAGGCCCAAGCCTCCCTCCCCTGGGGCACGTGCCCCACTTTACCGTTGATGGCCAATAGCGAGGGAGGTAGAAACTCCTGACCGGCAGGCAGCCCACGTGAACCCACCCAACGATTTTTTCTTGTCCATCCTCGGTTCGTCTCCCTGTCTCAGGACGAGTAGAAGTTTGTGGGGAACGGGGTGTGAGTGGGGAGGTATGCAGTTGGCATAAAGCCCTCAGAAAGGATCTCTAGCACAGTCAGAGAGAGAGGGCGGCCCCCTCTTACGGCGGATTCTTTGATTTTAGGTGAAAGGCCGTGAAAGGGTAAACCCCTGTGGCCCGCAGTCTTATCTCCCGCCCTGACGTCCCTGCACACCGGCCAGAGGGTTAACCGTAAGCGGGTGCCTGTATGGCCGCCTTACTGATGCCACGCAGGTAACTGATGCCAACCTGTCTTTTTGCCCCTGCCCCTCTGCTCTTTCCCCACCTGCTCTGCTGTTTGAGCCTCTCAGGGGTAGGCCACTTGTCTCCGTCCCCCAGGCCTCCTGTGTTGACTGCGCTGTCCTCACCTGGGTGCTTCTTGCAAAGTTATGGCCTTGCAAGCAGAACCTGCCTTAGCACCAAGCTTTCCCATTGATCAGTAGGATGCAATGTGCATGAGCTTGTATTGAACCATCAAGGGACTTCTATGAGTTACTGGGACAGGGAAAGAAGATGAGGACTAGCTTAGATTTTTTTTTTAATCCTTATCTGAGGATATGATTAGAGAGAGGAAGGGAGAGAGAGAAACATTGATGTGAAAGAGAAACATCGATTAGTTGCCCTCCACACCTGCCCCGACCAGGAATGTGCTCTCATCGGGAATTGAACCGGCAACCTTTCGGTGCACAGGAGGATGCTCAACTAACTGAGCCAGTTGGCCAGGCAAGATTTTTTTTTTTTTTTTAAAGTAACTTTAACTCCGATTCTTGCTTCTGCTCCTATGATTTCAGACTGAGCTAAAAGATTAGAACGGAGGTCTCAGCTAGACAAGATAGAAAACCAAAACCATTTTGTTGCAAAGAATAATTTGTGGAAGATTTTTGCAAACTGTTGTTGTCTTGGTAACAAGTAGCACGCTTTACTCTGGCCCCTGCTAACCCTTGTTAGATGGCTTGCATGGATCTGACATTTTTTGGAAATCCTCTTAATTGCTTTTCCGGGACACAATCTGGTGTCACAGCAGCCTGTGATTTGTAAGAGTGAGTGGACATGAGACGCTATGGCAGATGTTGTGAATGCCAGGAAATCCATGGCTTCGCAATGCACCTGGCTGAGATGGGAGGTGGGAGCACAGGATGTGCAGGCTCCATTTTCTGCAGGACAGCGGACATTTCTGGGAACTTGGGTGTCCCAGCCTTAAAAGACCCCTTCCTCAGAGCTGGGCAGTGGAAAACGAATGTTGCCTATGCTTGCCAAGTAAAATAACATCCCATTATTTCTGTGCATATTTGCCCTAGGGTAAAATCCCACTTGAAGTGAAAGGAAGAGAAGGAAATGGATGACCTTTAACATTTCTGCTCAGGCTCAGGATTTGTGAAAAAGAGGGAAGAAAAATCAGGCGGGAAGGACTTCCCTTCAACATGGAGAATAACATCTCCTAGGTCCATTTCCAGGGCACATTGCTAGAGTGTGTGGTCCTGATCTGAATTTACCAAACCCCTGCCACTTACCTTTGCCCTCCATGCCCCCCATGGAGGAGTTGCCAGGGTTAAAGTTCGGAAATCAGTAAACCTATTTTGTCCAGGGCCAGAAAGTAAATATTTTCAGCTCTTGGGCCATATAGTCTGTGTTGCAACCACCCAACTCTGCTCTTGTGCACAGTTGGGAGTTGTATTCTTATAACACACAGTTGTTGTGTTCTTATGTAAACAGATGGGACTTGTGTTCTTATAAAACTTTATTTACACAAGCAGGCATCTTTCCAGTACTGATCTCTGGTTGAAGGTAAAAGGGGCTAATGTTGGGAATCAGAAAGAGATATAAACAATTTCTCATTGGATTCTCCACAATAGATAACTATTGTAAAGTTGTCTGGACCTTAGGGAAATAAAATGTATGAGAATTCTGAACATATATGTTAACATTTTAAGCATGCTGATTGAGAGATGCCAAAATACAAATAGAAATAGGCGAACCTAGCTAAGCAGAGAAAAGAACTGACAAAGGGGACACTGGTTATCCATGGCTGAGTATTCCAATCTCCCTTCCTCTCACCGGCAGTCCTTGCTGGTCTGTAGCCATTCGTGTATATCCCTAGGTTTGTGGGATGAGAGGGGGAACATGAGTTCCACTTGACCTACTTGCACACTCCAAGCTTTGTGCTCTGAGACCCTGTGAAATGCATTCCTGCTCAACCCTTCACTCTGTGGAGGTGCTACTCTGGGCCCTTTGCATCCAGGAGCTGTGGCGGCTACTGCTTCACCCTCCTCATGGAGAGCAAGATGTGGTTTGTTATTTTGCCATCACTGTATTTCCCTTCCCCGCAGAGAATCCTAATTTAGAAATTCTTCCCAGCTCACGCCCTTCATTGACTTATCATCAACTTGCATGTCAGCTCTAAAAAAGCTAGGCCTCTCGGGGCAGGGTACCTATTGCTATGCCTGTAGTCGAGATAGGGAGTGTGTATATCCCTTGATCTTCTAGGTATTTCTCCTCCCGAAGGAGAAATCTCCAGGGGCCCCTGGGGGGCAGGGTAGGATCGGGGAGGTAACGCTGGCTTCTGCAGCAACAGCTCCAGGGGCCCTCTACGGGGCTGACAGCTCTTGTCATGACAGGCCAGGCCCTTCTTGTTGCAGGAACAAAGGGATGAGGACTCGCCTGGGATGCCTGTCTCACAAGTCAGACTCGTGTAGCGATTTCACAGCAATTCTTCCCGACAAGCCCAACCGTGCTCTGAAGTGAGTAGTGTGGTCACTTGGGTGTCCCCAGTGCCCAGCGTGGGGCTCCCACCGTGTGGCCACAGAACCCGTTCTTCTCTAGTGAGCTGTTGGCCAGATGATCAGAGGGACAATGCATTCCTGCCCCTTGGCAGCTCCTTTTACACACCTGAATGTGACTGACAGGATGGTTATTATCCTTTCCCCGTGTATCACTTAGTATGCCTTTTCATTCCTTTCCTTATTAAGAAAATCATTTTAACCACCACTTTTCTAAAGCTGCCGTGGAGGGTATTTCTTGGTCCTACTTAGTTGTCAAGCTGAGCTCTCAATTTGGAAATGAACACTCCAATCTATTTGAAAAAACCTGCTTAGGTTGAGATAATCTGGATTCAGTGCCTCTCCTCTGCAGGCCCAGAGTTAAAATGATGTCACAGATGTCACCTCATTTAACCCTCCTAGGGTTCCGTGATGGGCGTCATTGTCCCTATTACAGAGGTGGAGAAAGTAGGGTGGCGGAGAGGGAAGTCAGGAGCTCAGCCTAACTTTTCTGACTCCCAAGACCAGTTTCTTTCCATGGTGATCGTGACATTTTTAAACCACGCAATTGCTTAGCTTTGTTCTTTGACTGAAAGCTGATATGCTAAATTCCCAGAATGCCAATCCCAAGATTCCTGCATCCATTTCTTAAGAATGTAACAAATTACAGTGACAGAATTTCAGGAATCCAGGTATGGGTCTTCATTTACCATGCATTGTTCTGATCTGTTCTGTGGGTAAATCTCAGTGGTGGCTAAAGGCGAGAGAAGGTCATTTCAAAAATAGTCAAGAGAGATGGTTTTTATTTTCTAGGAGACTTTCCACAGAAGAAGCCACCAGGTGGGCCGATTCCTTTGACGTGCTTCTCTCCCATAAGTGTGAGTAGAATTCAGGTTTCGCCCTGTCTGGGCAAGCCATTCATTTATTAAAACATGCTGCCTACCAGGCATCAGGCAGGGGCTGTGCAGCTCTAGCCCCTGCCCTCAGAGCCTTCTGTCTGGAAGGGCGTATGGGTCACAAAACATAATTTACATGCAGTGGAAAGAGGGCCTTCTTTTCTGTTTTCTGGGTTGAAAGTAAGGTTCTAAGAAGCCTTTATGTTCTCAGCAGGTTTAGCAAGAAAAATGTGAGCTTAGGGAGTTGGAATAATGGATCAAAGGAACAAGAGAGTCTCGGTTCAATCCCAGATCTCATTTATAAGATGAAAGAACTCCACCCACCAGCCTCCACCCCCGGCCAGGTCAATGGAGAGCCTTGGGTTACTTGTCAAATGCATATCCTGTGCATTTTGTTGTTCGCTGGAGTTGGCAGATTTTTTTTCTCATTGCTTTTTATTTTGGGGGGTTCACTACCCCAGCTGCATTATGCCCCTCTGTTTCTGACTGGGTGCAAGTCTAACTAGAACACACATCCTTTTCCCCATTTCCTCATCTTTTAAGCCTTGTGTTTCTCACAAAGGCAGACATAGTTGTGGGAAGGGAACCTTGACGTTGGCCACACTTTTCAGTCCTGGCTCTTTTCTCACCATAAACAAGTCCAAGTGCACTAGGCTTTAAAATTCCAGTGGCCTTAAATACATGGGCGTGGGAGGGAGAAGGGTCTTTTGAAAAGAAATGGTTTCGCACGGACAGCTGGTGCTCCTCTTCCATGTGTCTTGTCACCATTAGAAGTCCCCATACATCTGGGAGCAGAAGGACCGCTTTGAGTTTAGAGAATTATCTCCAGTGAATTGGGGAACATGGTTTTGCAGAGTGACGTGAAGAGCATTGGTTGGTAGTCAAATCTATCTTCTCAGTTTTGACCTGGTTCAGCCACTAGGTGGTTTGAATGGCCCTGATGGAGTCCTCAGTCTTCAAAAGATGTCTTCACAAGTGATTTTGCTTTCAAGTGGGTGAGCAGTTTTCTCTGCCCGAGTCCATGATCCTAATGCTAATTAACAAACTAGAGGCCCGATGCATGAAATTTGTGCAAGAGGCTCGGCCCTCACAGCCCTGGCTTCATCCAGAAGGTCATCTGGAAGGACATCCAAAAGGTCGTTCAGCTGTCCGGTCTAATTAGCATATTACACTTTTATTATTATAGATGCTTCTGAATAGATTTTAAAATGAAATGTGGAATCTAACGAGAAGCACATATTGTGGCAAGTAACATTGTGAAATCATCGTTTTAGTGTTGTAAGGATTAAACAGAGGAAGGAAAATAAAGCAGCATACTACAGCATATATAACATATGGCTACAGCCCCAAACAGAAGCTTATATGGTGAATCTGCTAAAGCAATGGCATATGTAGGATAATGCTTAAGATTTGACAGTAACGCTTTTTTATTTTTTATTTTATGAGGCCATTCTGACTTTCTGGAGGCACATTGGGCTACATGAGTGTCACTATCAATTTACACCTTTACGGGTTGGATTTGGCTCAAGGTCATCTTGAAGTCTCACTTCTATTTCGGATTCATGACTGACTCACTCAGTTCAAGTCCCTGAGGCTGTTTCCTCATTCTGAAATGGGGCTAGGAATACCTGTGTGCTACCCATCACCCAGATACGAGAAGACACATTTGGATAATTTTGGGTTTTCAACTCCAAGGTGTCTTGTAAGAAAATGGGTGTTTTTAAGCATGGTGCTTTTAATTATCAAATGCAAAATAAATGTTAGAATCAGGTTGCAAGGTTGCTGCCAATTGCGTCATTAGAGACAGAGTTTGGGTGTAAACCGAGTGGCTGGAAGCTTCAGGCATTTGGGGTTTGCTGCAGTGGTAAGAGCTGGAGATGCAAGAGGTTTGACTTTGTTTGATTTAGTGTCTCTTAGACCTGAAGACACTTGGGTTCTGCTTTTGTCGGGATGCTTTTGGTTTCTAGGAATCCAATGACACTCTTCTGGGATGGGGACTCCACTAAGGGGCTGGCGGCTGATGCCTGATTGCTTCTTTGGAAAGCTACGATGGCAATAGGCTTTGGACTGTGGCATTCTGTGATCCTCCTTGGAGTCCGTTGTTCTGTTTTTATTTGTTTATTATGGGAATAAAAAGCAAATGGAGCGAACGCCTTTGAGAAGGGTCACTGGCAGCATTTTAAGGTTTTAGGACTTGAACACTTACTCCCCGTGAAGGCGGCGGAGGAGTCGGAGCCCAGGTTGCCTTGAAAAGCCCTGACAACTTTCTCTAAGTCTGACTAATTTGGGTTGGTATTGTGACTCAATTAGGGCTCATGAGGCTTTTCCAAAGGGATCGCGTGTGAGCTGGTCCCTTAGGAGGGACAGCAGTTGATCAGAGGTGTACAGGGCTTTCAATTAAGACAATAAAATATCCTTAAAAAAAAGTAAAGAAAGGAAAATCGCTGAATGACTGGGCTCCAGAAAAAATGTGCATTAGTCTAGAACCTACTCTCTGGCAATTCTCCACATCTCGGCAGCTGTCCCTCCTGAGTTTTCTATTTCAGAAAAATTCAAATAATTATTGCTGTTCCCGTGCTCAATCTACAGAGCTTCTTTGCCATCCCTGCACTGCGGGGTATTTTGGGCAGTCATTTGTTTCACAAAAGGTGCATTTGAGTGTTCACTGCATACACAATCTACACCACACAGCTGGTTGGCTGATGAATAGAACAGTCCCTCCCGGGTGGAGAATGCCACTTTCTGAGAAAACAGGCAAGCATTCCCTCAACACAGGAAATAATACAGTTTGCTGACTGCAGATGGGGGGCCCCCTCAAGATTGCAGATAGGACCCCGACATTCAATGCCTGTCTTAAAGTCCATCTTGTTCATAGGGAAGCAAAGGGCTGCTTTTAGTTGAGAGCATTGCTTCCAGGGAACATACTTCCGTACAGTTAGGAAGAACTTGGCTGGTAGTCAGATTTTGACCCAGCCCTGCTATTCAACAGCTGGGCAGCCTTGGCAGAATCCTTGGAAAACCTGTTTCCTCATCTCTACAGAGAAGGATCTGGGGTAGGATGTCTCAGAGGCTGGATTCAGACACCACCACCCCCCCAGCGCCCCCCCCCCCCAATCTAGGATGCCATCTGCAGTAACCATCAAGGCTCGGTAATAACTAGTCACCCAAAACTGCTTCAAAGCTAAAGTGGCTTGAGCACCCAGAAGAGGGGTGACTGCATCTGTGTTATGAAGTCTCCTCTCTCCATCAGGGTCCCACTGTTCCAATCAATGAATTCCAATTACAGGGGTTAAAAAAGCAAGACCGTTAGTTCTTAAATCTGAGAATGAAAAAAAAAATAAGTCTGGGAGGCAAATATTTGCAGCAGTTTTATTTGCAATCACATTTGCTGACAAGTGCAGTATGAAGCTGAAGAAGCATCTGTGGAGGTTGGGGAGATAATCACTTGCTAAGTGCTCTCTTTCTCTCTCTTTTAACTAACAAGTGAAAAATGAAATTAAGATTGCTGATGTCTTCATTAGATAGGGAAGGATTTATAATGTGTGTTAATTTGGCATCATTTTCCTGTTCATCCAGTGACAATTAGACTGGGTGTCGAGGTTGGGCATGTAGTGTGACCCCTCAGGGTGTGTGTGTGTGTGTGTGTGTGTGTGTGTCTGTGTGTGTGTTCGCATGTGCGTGCACAGACACCCAGAATCCTTTCTGCTTCGACAACTCATACCCTGAGTGTGAAGGCTCCCAGCTTGTGGGACATCTTTTCTGACTGGCTGCTGGAAAGCAGGCCCCAAACTGGGTGTCTTCTGTTTGCATTTCTCAAGAAGTTCAGACACATGCTTGTAATTTGTTCAGCTCTCAGTTCTGGGGTGGGAAAGTCTGGCCCGCGGGCCCTATGAGGCTAAAGAAAGCATTTGGTCTGGCCCTGCCAAGGCAGTAAGGGCAAGTCAATTACATGTTTGAGTAAATATAGCAGGCTAATTTTTAAGTTGATAATTTTGTATGGCCTGAGAATGATGTTATAAATATTCAAATGGCCCTTGGCAGAAAAAAGGTTCCCCATCCCTGTTTTAATGGGACATCCAGTCCTTATCTCCAAATCAGTCCTCCCTCCCTCCCTCCCTTCCTCACTTCCTCTTTCTTCTTCCTTCCTTCATCCCATTCTACCTCCTTCCTTTGTGTTTTGGTCATAAAAATTGGATTCATTCTACTTTTAAGGTGAAGGTGTAGACAGGGTTCCTTCCCCTTTCCTCTCGCCTCTTTCAGCCTGATTCCCCACCTGGATGACAGAGCCTCACCCTGGGCATCTCTTTGGTCCTTAGGTTTGTTTTATTGTTTGCACGGAACATGGAGGGTCGATGCTGACCTGTCCCTACTCGGCCTAGGGAAGACGTGGTTAATGGAATAGCACGATTGAAAGCTCTTTTGTGTTTGCAGAGTTGGCATCCGTCTCTGAGAAAAGGAGACCAATAAAGAAGCATTTTGTTTTTAAAAATTAGCCTCCTTAGGGATAACAGTTAAAATAAAGAAAAATGTAATGACTTGATTGGGTCACACAGAAAACAAACAAACAAACCCTAATATTGCCAGCTCACGAAATTTCTTAATTATCCACCCAAATGGTCTTTAGCTCTAGAATCTACAGCTCCGCAATGAGGTGTCCATTTGCTGCACAGCCCTCCCCACATACCTCTCCAAATCAAAGGTTCTAGACCAAACGGTATAACTCAAAATGTGGTCCAAGGAAGGCAATCCCAGGGGCTGCAGGGGGCTGGGGAGAAACCAAAATTCTTGGTTGTGCCTCAGCCCCGCTGAATCAGAATCTCTGGCAGGATGGGAGGGGCAGCAATTCTGTTCCCTCTCCTTCTCCCCCAACCAGCCCTCCAGGAACATCTGTGCCCACCAAAGCTTGAGAAGCACCGCTCTGAAACGGGAGAAGGTGCATCTTGGTGGGGCAGGTGGTCTGTGCTTTCCAAGAAACACACTAC